CTGACCTTCCTGACCTTCCTGATCCAGAGCCTCAGTGTTGGGAGTCCGGTTCGTTCTTCAGGTGAACACCGAGGTGCTTAGAGTCCACTACCTCGGTGTCCGTTCCCTGGATGTTCATCGGTGTCAGTGGGGTGGATCTGCCTAAGGTGGTTCTACTGGAACCAGAGCACCGAGTTCTGGGTCCCTGTCTGTCCTCTGAGTCGTCTCCACCGTTGATGAGGCCAACTATGGCAGGAAGGTCAGAGAAGGTCTGGAGGAGGCGGCGTGGGGAGCTGATGGAGACGTCTGCAGGGCAGAGGGTGAAGAGGAACGGTTCCAGCACTGTTCCCTGTGGGACCCCCGTACTGCAGACCAAACTATCAGAGACACAGCCCTGTGTCCTCACACACTGTGGGGGGCAGAGGTAGTCCAGAACCCAGTGGGACATGTTCTGGTCCACTGCTGGCAGCTCCAGCTTAGGAGTCCTGGCTGGATGGAGCTGAAAGCAGTGCAGAAATCAAAGACCATGATCCTCACAGAGCTTCCAGGATTCTCTGGGTGAGTCAGAGGAAGATGATGACATCATCTGCCCAATCCCAGCGCGCTAGGATAACTGGATCCAATGGTAAACTGGAGCTTTGCTGAAAGAAGCAAATATCACTTCAACCCTTAGAGATTAAAACTCTGTTTTATCAACAAGCTTTTAATTTGACAGGATGAAGGTAACTCCTCCTTTCTGAGCATCTCCAAAGTCTGTTTTATCTTTAGTTCATGCAAACCTGCCTGCTGTGTATATCAGCATAGATGTGTGTTTGATAGAAGCTGACATGTTGGATCAAAGGTCATCACTCTGTGCTGCTCCTCTTCCAGCTGACGGGTGAAGAGCCGGCCCTGGAGCGAGTGCTGTCGCTGGGCGGACACAGAGCCCCGGTGGTGACGGTGGATTGGTCCTCGGCGGTGGACTGCGGCACCTGCCTCACGGCCTCCATGGACGGGAAGATCAAACTGAGCACGCTGCTGGCGCAGAAGTCCTAACTGATCCGGTCTGACTCCTGTTTCAGGCTCCAACCATTAAAATCGGATCTAGTCTGACTCCTGTTTCAGGCTCCAACCATTAAAAGCTG